ACTCCACGGGGTAAGAGCAATATAAAATATATTAAGAAAACATGCCTTAAATGAAAATATTTGGAACCACTTTACCATGCCAATTTATAAACAAATCTTAAAGTTATTTATTTGGATTTTATAGATCAGACAACTGCAAACTAGAACATAACTCTAAGGTGGAAGAGAAATAATATATGCTTTTTAAATTGTTTAAGACATAAAACTTTAAAGTAGTTGCAAAACTGCAATCAGATTATCAGATTTGTGAGCAATGGCAATATAACATGAGCCATCATCCTGGGCACAACCGTTCTTTTGGTGAAACATGGGGGTGGCAGTGTCATGCTGTAGGGATGCTTTTCTTCAGAGGGGATATGGAACCTGATCAGAGTTGAGAGAATGATGGCTAAAGCAGGATCAGGACTTTCCTGATTGCAAAACATGCTGAAGGCAACAAAAAGTGAATCTACCTGCAAGAAAAAAGTCAACAAACAACCATAGCTTCAGTGGAGTGTTTAAATCAAAGCATGTTAATATGTTTGAATGAGCCAAGTCAGAGCTCTAGTTAAATCCAGAATCTGAATAATTGGAACATTTTTTGTTAACAGATTCCTTTTATCCACACTGGCTGAGCTTGAGGTTCTTTAAAAAAAAAAAAAAAAAAAAAAACAATGACCAAAAATGTAAATCTATAGATATGCAAAACTGGTACAGAAATAGCAAAAAAAGAAGGTGAGCTGTACTCTCTGAAAAGGGAATGCAGCTCCAACATAAACAAGTTGCTTCATTTAGTATTAAATCAAGTTGGGCAAACTCAATTTAAGTACTTGTTACCAAATGCAGCGAATCATTGAAGTTGGAGCAGCAGTAATACATAGTTCTATGGCTCAGAGAGATTAAACAAAACAAAAAAAACTTCTCTGTATGTGTTGGTCAGTCAAGTTCAATAAAATCCATTAGGATAATAGTGGTTTGTTTTGTAATGTGAAAAAGTGCTACTTTTGTAGGTAAGAATACCACCGCAAGGCTCTATAAATGCTGTATAAGGCTCTATCATCCTAAGTTTAAGATAAGATGTTTATATATATATATATATATATATATATATATATATATATATATATATATATATATATATATATATATATATATATATATATATATATATATACATATATATATATATATATATATATATATATATATATATATATATATATATATATATATATATATATATATATATATATAATATCTTTTATTTATAGGCTGTTTAAAATAATTTCAATAATTAATGATAACATCAAAATACCTTTTTAGTTTGCTGGATTATGTTATGCCTTCAGACATGTAAACTTTGTGTTTTATTTTCGATCCTACTGTTAAACTCACCCTATTTTAATGATTAAACATTGCTATTGTTACATAAATCCCTATATTGTTAAGTTGAAGTTTCTCACTCTGCACCGTTTTCTCAGCTCTGTTGAACTTTTAGTTCATGCTTTGTTTTCGCACCGCTTCTTAAAGGGGCTCAGGTGAGGGTGGGGTTCAGCTTGTCAGGGTTCAGGGTATACTGTAAGTCACAGACCATAACATTTCTCTGCATAGCTGTCATCCCAGAATTAAACCTCGTCTATGACAATGCACAAGAAAGCAAGCAAACACCATTAAAAATAATTTAGTTGATGGATAAAAAAAAAAAATAAAGAAACTGAATTTAAAATCTCACTCAGAGCCTCATAAAACTGCCTGGATGTTAAAAATTATTTTTGACACTGTAATTTTTTGTCTGAAGTTTGTCTCCTCTTGTCATTTTAGGTCCCCCGACCTCTTGCTATGAAGAAAGAGGGAATCCAGACACGCAAACGTAAACCAAAGAACCTAAACAAGTCTCAAACAGGTTAGACCAAAAACACACAGAGACTGGTAATATCTGGACCTCCACAAAGACCAACTGATGAGCTGCTATTATATTCTATCTTAGACTACAGTTTTTAATCATAAATACAGTTGAAACCAGATATTGTTTCAAATTCTGAACATCATAATCTTTTCACATGATACAGTTTATTTTGCCAACTTCACTTCATTTTAGACAAAATGTTGCTGCTACCCCTGTTCTCCTTAATGATTGTGTCCGCAAGCTTCTCCTTTTTCCTCCTGGTTTAACAATGATCATTGTAACAAACAACAATTTATCATAGTTTTATTACACCTACCCTCTAGTGATCCTAGTGATCTGTTTTTGCTTCCTGAGGACCCAATTGAAAAATTAAACAAGCTTTTATCAACCAACTGGATGTAGAGAACAACCTGGTATCAGCTGTTTTTCACACTGAGCTATCATAGCTCATCAAAGCAGCACAGGTGTTTTGATGAAAACAAAGTAAAACTAAATAAGTTGGTCTGACTATAATTTTTGATCCGTATTTTGCTCCCAATTCCTCAAATTTAAAGGTGAGTTACTCAGAGGAGCTCCAGTTTTATAAATACAGGTTTATAATATGATTTTATTTTGTATATTAATTTGGATTCCTTACTAATTTCTTGGCAACACATCTATGTTGTTTTTTTATTTGAGATGAAAACCATAAAAACACTAATAATTAAATTTTCAAATTAAAAGATTAAAGATTATTAGATTATTTTTATAATCAGTATGTTCCACTTTTGGACAATAATCAATAATTTTGACTGAGAAGGGTACTAACGGTGAGACAAAATGCCCAAAGGGATAAAAAGTCAAAAAAAGGTTGGGAAACACTGCACTAGACAACAGAAAAACTCTCAACAAAATTAATCATTGTCCCTGACAGTGTTTGGGAGATATAATCTGTTTTATTTTTATTTTTTTTAATCTCTTATCAGCTTCAATTATCACCTTCACAGTGTCTTTCCCTTTAGTTCCCCCCCCCCCCCCCCCCCCCCCCCCCCCCCACACACACACATTTCAACCTGTCTGAATGACACAATCACTGATCATTCCCATGCTATTTATACACGATAATTATTTGATAAATGAATGTGACACCTTTAAAGCTTCGGGAGATTGGATGATTCACATTTATACAAATCCAGAAATCTCTCCATGAAATATTGATTGATTTCTTTTGACTTTTTCCCAATGTCAGAAAAGGATGAGGCGTTTGAGATATTTCCTTTAAATTTGTCCTACAGTCGAGCCTCTGTTTAACTCAAATCTTACTTACCGTAATCTATTCTATCAAAAGATAGAATAGAACAGGATTTTTAAAATTATTTAAAAGCATAGTTATAAAAAAAAAAAAAAAAAATTTTATTTTAAAGAAAGAAATAATGATTTTTCTAAAAATTCTCCTTACGGTTAGCAAACACAAATAAGAAGTTCGTGAAGTTAGGAACTGCACAGCAGTTCTAGATACAAGAGTGTGTTTTAGCTTCATAATAAGCATTCTTCTGCACCCTGCAGGACTTCCAGGCAGCGAAGGGGCACCGATTACTCCAAGCAGCACTCCCCGCTCCTCCTCCTCCTCCTCCACAACCTCCACCACCACCGCAGCAGTGGAGTCTCGTCAGATAAAGACAGAGCCAGAAAATCACAGCTTGTACACACATCACGGTTCACACACACAGGTAGACCACTGCATGACTATGAGCCTGTCAACCAGAGACTGATATAATTAGAAATCTACTAACAAGTCTTTATGATGAACTCTTCTTTATGGTTCTCTACAGATTTCAGCTCTACCATCGTATATGACAGCCCATGGAGGCTCCATTCCTCTGAAGATGTCCCCTGGTGGACACAGTGGCTCCTCCAGCTCCAAAACAGAGCCTTGGAACAACCTAATCATGGCTTAGGAGAGCTACAGCTCTGCATAAAAAAAAAGCTACCTATGCACAACATCCTAATGAAACTCTCCAGAAACTGCTGCTTTGGTGGGAGATGGCTTCCCCGTTTCCTGCAATTGGTGGCATCAGTGTGATGACTGCACACCACCACCATGAGATGAGAAAAGAACAGAAAAGGACAACTTACCGTCAAACTGACTAAAAAGGAATATGTCTTTTCATGCAAAAGCAGTATGGAAGCCCCAGCTGCCTAACAGATACCGAAACAGTGCAAACAAAATGTGAGAAGTATGAGTGGCTAAGATGTAAGCGTTGCCTTCAGTGATATAAAACATACGGTAGTTATGGACATTTCCCCCCAGATTTGATGGATATCAAAGAATATATTTACAATAAAAACCATAAGCACACAATTTTCTAATAAAAGTTCCACCAGAAAGGTGCTAGAACAAGTATGTCTTCAAGGTAAGTTTACAAGGAAAAAGAGCAATAAATGTTTTTAATTCCTGGACAATTTAAAAATGATCCCTTCTGGGAAACGTGTGAATGATAAATCTATAGAAATGAGCATTGTCTTTTTAAGGAGCAGGGGAAGACAGGAAATCCATGCTGTTCCAATTGTCTATCGGGATCACTGGCGGGGTACACTCAGGACAGGTCACCAGTCCATCGCAGGGAAAAACACCTAAGTGCAATTTAGAGTTGCCAATAAAACTATAATGTTCAGGTTTTTGGACTGATGGAGGAAGCTAGAGTTCCCAAATAGAAGCAACACATACACAAGTAGATCATGCAAACTCCATGCAATAAACTGCAACACCAAGTAACCCAAGATCGGATCATTTAAGATGATATATGCTAGTGTTTTGATGTGTAGAATTTAAGAATAAATCCGTCTTTCATTACATTAGCAAAATCTTGCATTAAAATGTAAGCAGTCGAGAAAAAAAATCAATATGTAGCAATAAATGGTTTATCTGAATAAGCAGTTTAATGATCAGTTACAGATCAAGTTAGATCAAATTAAAACAACCATTTTCTTAGCTGATCACAATTTCTGCCCCTATTTTTAACTCTCAGTTTTGGTGCGTTTGTATTTTTTCTTGGTGTCATATTTCATGTAAGTATAATTTGAAATTAGAAACACCAGACAGATGACAGATAAACAGATAAATTGCTGTTTTTTGACTGTTTGCCTATATCAGCAGCTACGGCATGAAGAAGTTTAAAAGAACTGTAACTGGGACAAAAGAGGTGGGAGATAAACTATATATTTCCTTACACTGGTTTGAATGATAATGGGGATAAAAACCAACTTTAAATCTACAAAACTCACTTTAAAGAGATTCGTTTTTTTTTTTTTTTAATACAGTCCTGCAACAAAATAGATCTTTATGTCAATGAATGTGAAGGACTTTTTAAGATTCAACTTTAAAGAGTGGTCGCAACTCTTTAAATCTCTGCTCAAACCAACCAAGGAAATACAAATTACTCTGAAATAATTAAATTACCCTAAAATATCCCTTAAACTATCTTATCCGTACCTCCTCCACAGTATTACTTCGCTGAAAGAGATGCACAAGTGCAATAAGAGCACCTTCTTTAAGGCCACTTTCCAAGAAAATGTACCTAAACTACCTAAGCAGCATAATTCCCAAGTATTATGAAGGCAGACAAACAGCTCCATCTGCTGGTTTTACTTCAGATGTGCATCTACTTGTCGGTAAAGATGACTTTTTAATAGCATTCCTATTTAGTGGGAACCCTGACTTAAATAAACATCCTTTATGACTCTGTTATTGTTGGATACTCTGTACAGCGTGTTTGCAATACTTTCTAGTCTGCTGCTGAGAAGCATGTGGAGGCAACCAGTGTAAACGTGGGATACTGCCATGTGTAATTACAAGAATGAGAACTGTATAAGCTTATGTAAAAAACCTCACTCCATTATAATCATGTACTTTGTTATTTGTGATATATTGTAAGCAGAGTAATAAAGAAACCCTTTTGATGTAATATAAATGACAAATTGGTCTCTTTAAATGTGTTTTTATGCATAACAAAGATTTCTAACACAGACATTGCCATCCTCTTTTTAACGTTGTTTAATAAAAATCCGGATTTTAAAACTTCAGTTTCCCGATTTGCAAATACGCTTTTGTAAAAGTGTGAATGTCGTCAATGAAAAGCTGAACGGTGCGTTGATTAAATTCATCTGTCAGCTTCTCCCTGACAAACTCTGCACACCTGTCCTGTACTGTTTCCCTCCAGCACTGTTGAAACCTGCTTCTCATTTCTTCCTGGAGGCCTTCGCATACCTCTGAGCTGAAAGCATAAGTGAGAGAAAACACCTTTCCTTTTTCCAAATGTTCATCAAAGGTCCGGTTTTCCCCTAAAAGTAGGTCTGCTGCTTCAACGACTGCGTTCAGCTCATTTGTAAGAACTTTTTTCTCTCCTTCCTGTTTGGACTCAAGAATACTGTTCATGCTTTTGAAGTAACTCTTCTGGTGCTGCTTCTCCTCTGATGTTATCAAAGGAAAAATGAGTTTCTCAGATCCAAGCACACTTTTGGCGACAGAAAACATAGTTACACACAAAGGACTGAAACCGTCAATCTTATTAACTGAATCAATGTAGCTGTCATAGTCTGCACTTTGAGTAATCAATTCCACTTGTCTGTAATTTATGTCCTTGAACAGGTTTTCCTTGTTTCCTTTAAAGCCCCAACTTCTCATATAGCCTATACAAGTCTTCACTGCATACATGTTCCACCAGTCGTGAGCCTTCTGCACCAGGTTTAGCATACATGGCTTAGAGTTCCTTGCCAAACAAGGACTGTTCATTGTGAAAACATACACTGTCCAGTCTATAGGAACATTTTCTTCCTGCAGAAGCTCCTGGGTTTGTTTAATGATGATGTCCTCGCTGTGTTCTCCGCTGCTATAGTTAGGGTAATAAGGCCCATACAGTATGATCTCCTCCTGTTTCTCAATGACTGCCCACGAATGTTGCTTGTCTTCTATGCCATACTCCTCCATGATATCCTTGTGAAAGGAGAGAAACTTGTGATTGACTGAGTTGTCCAAGAAGATGTCATCTCGTTTGGTTTTGAGACACTCTAAAACTTTCTGAGCAGAACTGTTTGTGTCAGCCCAGAATAGAGTCAGCTCCCAAAGCCTTTTGGCAGCATCCAGGTGATTACTCTTCAACCTGTTTACACACCCTTTATGCAGCCAGGTGCCACAACCACTTGTCCTGAAAAACACAAGACAGCAATTTATGCAAAAATTGTGTCATTTAGCCTGAAGCTCTTTAAATAAGCTTCTTTTTTATTGTTTTATCTTTGAGAGAGCCATATTTCTGTTTTAATTAGCATAAAAGGTTGTCATAAACTCTGCATGTGTTCCTATCAATGTGTTCTTACTATGCTTGCAATCTTACTTGAAGTTACATAAACCCAATTGGTGACCCAAATGTCACCTAAGCTGTCACTTGAAAGATGGTTAAATCTGATATTTAACCAGTGGCTACGACAAAAAGATGATTTAATTCGGTTTCAAAATACAAAATGTGTGGAAGGCCAATGCTTACCCACCTACAGTCAATTTTCCTGGGCCAGGATAGAGGGCAGTCTCAGAACCAGATCCAACAATTTATAGCTAAAGCCTTATTTTTTGCTCACAAAACACATTTGTGAAGAAATATGTATATTTTACATTTAAGCAAATTAAAATCAATTCATATGATTATTTTCCTCCAATCTGTCCTGGCATTGTAGGTTGTTTTAGCTGGGAGGTACACTGCTTCAATAAAAAAATTATTCTGGCTTTAGAACCTGAGCTGCAAAATAAATGTTTCAAACTTAACATATTGAGGTCAAATTTAAAAATGTCAAACAAGCAGAAGCCTGTTAATATGATTAAGTGTGACTGCATTAATATAGGAAGCCAAAAGTGCCACCAATTCAAGATATTAAGAGGCAATATTTATATATATATATATATATATATATATATATATATATATATATATATATATATATATATATATATATATATATATATACAGTGGGGCAAAAAAGTATTTAGTCAGCCACCAATAGTGCAAGTTCTCCCACTCAAAAAGATGAGAGAGGCCGGTAATTTTCATCATAGATATACCTCAACTATGAGAGACAAAATGAGAAAAAAAAATCCAGAAAATCTGGATTATGGTGCAAAATATGGTGGAAAATAAGTATTTGGTCAGTTACAAACAAGCAAGATTCCTGGCTCTCACAGACCTGTAACTTCTTCTGTAAGAGACTCCTCTGTCCTCCACTCGTTACCTTCATTAATGGCACCTGTTTGAACCCGTTATCAGTATAAAAGACACCTGTCCACAACCTCAAACAGTCACACTCTAAACTCCACCATGGCCAAAACTAGAGAGCTGTCAAAGGACACCCGAAACAAAATTATAGACCTGCACCAGGCTGGGAAGTCTGAATCTGCAATAGGTAAACAGCTTGGTGTGAAGAAATCAACTGTGGGATCAATTATTAGAAAATGGAAAACATACAAGACCAGTGATAATCTTCCTCGATCTGGGGCTCCACGCAAGATCTCACCCCGTGGGGTCAAAATGATCACAAGAACGGTGAGTAAAAATCCCAGAACCACACGGGGGGACCTAGTGAATGACCTGCAGAGAGCTGGGACCAAAGTAACAAAGGCTACCATCAGTAACACACTACGCCGCCAGGGACTCAAATCCTGCAGTGCCAGACGTGTCCCCCTGCTTAAGCCAGTACATGTCAAGGCCCATCTCAAGTTTGCTAGAGAGCATTTGGATGATCCAGACGATGACTGGGAGAATATCATATGGTCAGATGAAACCAAAATAGAACTCTTTGGTAAAAACTCTACTCGTTGTGTTTGGAGGAGAGAGAATGCTGAGTTGCATCCAAAGAACACCATACCTGCAGTGAAGCATGGGGGTGGAAACATCATGCTTTGGGGCTGTTTTTCTGCTAAGGGACCAGGACGACTGATCCGTGTGAAGAAAAGAATGAATGGGGCCATGTATCGTCAAATTTTGAGTGAAAACCTCCTTCCATCAGCAAGGGCATTGAAGATGAAACGTGGCTGGGTCTTTCAGCATAACAATGATCCCAAACACACCGCCCGGGTAACGGAGTGGCTTCGTAAGAAGCATTTCAAGGTCCTGGAGTGGCCTAGCCAGTCTCCAGATCTCAACCCCATAGAAAATCTTTGGAGGGAGTTGAAAGTCCGTGTTGCCCAGCGACAGCCCCAGAACATCACTGCTCTAGAGGAGATCTGCATGGAGGAATGGGCCAAAATACCAGCAACAGTGTGTGGAAACCTTGTGAAGACTTACATAAAAACGTTTGATCTTTGTAATTGCCAACAAAGGGTATATAACAAAGTATTGAGATGAACTTTTGTTATTGACCAAATACTTATTTTCCACCATATTTTGCAAATAAATTCTTTAAAAATCAGACAATGTGATTTTCTGGATTTTTTTTTTCACATTTTGTCTCTCATAGTTGAGGTATATCTATGATGAAAATTACCGGCCTCTCTCATCTTTTTAAGTGGGAGAACTTGCACTATTGGTGGCTGACTAAATACTTTTTTGCCCCACTGTATATATACATATATAAAAAATAAAAAATATATTTCTATTCATAAATGTAAACATTTCAGTATGACCTGCAACAATCCTTGCATCAAATTAATAGAAAAAAAAATCTTTGTTAATGTTCATTTCATGTAATCATTAAATACATATATTTACTTTATGACCACATGCCAGTATCAACACAGTATCAACTATTTTATATCTCTCATTATAAATTCAAAAGAATTTTTTCCTACTGGAATGATCTGCAGCTGACTTTTTTATGAGCATGAGCACAGGAAGCCAAAAAATACATTAAAAAATTTGCTTTTTAGGCATTATTTGACCAAATATTTGGCTCATATTTTTATTAGATTTATCACTACTTTTGTTCCGATAATGCTGCAAGCAAATAACAGCTTTTTAAAGGAAATTTTAAAGAACCCATTGTTTTCACACTGATGACTTAAAACCATGAAAGAAGGAGTCCAAAAAATGAAACTGAAAATTTTCATAATGAAAAAAAGGGTTTGAGTGCAAACTGTTTTGTATTCTAACTATTGTAAAAATGTATACTTGTTGCAATGTTGTTGCTGTCCATGTAGACTCATGCAGGGCATTTGAAAAAAAAATTTTTTTCTCGAAAATATAAAAAAAATGACAGAAATAAAAACAATTTAAATTTTTTTTTTTTTATTATTATTTTTTTATATATAGGTTACTATCAACCCGTATTTTTATTTTTTGCAGAGTTTCATTTCTGGAATACGTTTTCTTTTATACCATCGCAAAGGATTTTCCTTGCTTGCAACAACAATAAAAAATATATATATTCGTACATAACCTCTTTGAGTGCTCAATAAAATATGAATGTAATGGTTGCGTACACATGTAAAACTATTTTATCTGTGGCCCAGACCAGACATTCAGCTGGCCTGGGCATATGCATTTGTCTGCCTTTGTTCCCATAAAATAAAAAGACATCTCACTGCTTTTAAACATTTATTATTAAAAACAGTGCAACTGATTGTTATCTAATTTTTATATAAACAGCTTTTCTGTTAAGGCTGTGAAAGCATGAAAACATTAGTTAAATAAAGTTGGGTCTCAATTAGAACCTTGTTTTCTTGTTCAAACCAGACAAGTCCACGAGAGCGCACTCTCCACAGATCATAATTTTGGTCCTCCTCCAGAACTGATGATAATGCTGCAGGAGTGCTAATTCGCCAGCCTTGCTATCGCTGCTACCGTTTATGTTTAACCATATGGGCTGATTCCAACAATAAGAGATTCCCCTGCAGGCACTCGATAAATGTTGCCGCTTGATATTACAAAACCGAATATCTTCAGAACAGCTCCAAATGACACAAAACCAATATCGGTGAGTAGAACATGATGTAATAACGTAAAATCAAGGGCCCAATGTGAAAAAAACAGTGTTCCCATTTAAATGTCAATACAAAGGCAATTACAAAAAAACTATATATGTCAAATACCAGGTTATGACTCATTCAGGAAAATTGAGCTTGCTTATCTTTCAAGTGAGATGAGAAGACACACCCTTGTCACTCAAGGTGTGGTTGTTATCAGTCACGCTATTCAGTGAGGGGGTTAGATACAATTACTTTTCAACATCTTCTTTTTAGACTAATTTGACCGTGATGAAGTGTAGTTTCCAGAGAAAGATTCATAGGAGGAGGATTTATTGGAAGTCACAAGGATAACACAACACATGTGTCTGGGTGTGCATGCTGTTGTTTTTATTACATTGTGGGGCCCATTTTCAGGGGGAAATTGCATGTTATGGGAACCTACTGCTCCTTGTGGGGCCTGATACCTGGACCCCACATGGGGAATTGCTTTTTATGGGTCAGGGGGTCATGTGTAAGATGTGTTAGGGTTAGGTCTGAACAAATAATGGTTAGCGTCAGGGCCATGTTTAGGCTGTAAAAATTAATGGAAGTCAATGGAAAGGCCGATCAAAGATAGTGAGAAAACTTTGTGTTGTGGTGTGTGTGTAGGTGTGTATGTGTGATAGAATAGAAAATCCCTTTATTGTCCCACGATGCAGAAATTGTGGTGTATACAGCATCAACGGTTGTAGTAGAAGTGGTTACACAATGTGCACCACATCTACACAATGGTTAGTTATTTAATAGTTGTCGTCTTGCTTGACAAGACGACAACTAGCTCTGTATGTAAAAAACTATGTGATGGAGTGATCTATCACCGGAATGCACCACTAGCACTGTGAAGCATGGTGAAGACTTCACTGTGTTAGAGTCAGGAACATCTTCGAGTTTATTTATAGAGGGATGGAGCTAACTACAGGACTACGGCAATAGAGACAATTCATAGTCTGCAAATTTAGAACATATTCATCTGGCCAGACTTTGTTAGTTTAAAGCTGAAGTCTGTAAGTTTTTAAAAATCACTTTTTTGTCATATTGGCTAAAACTGTCCCTATGCCCAGACAGCAGTACATGGGATATGTAACCTGTGAAAAAAACTGCTTCAACTGGTCCCGCATACTGACTGTATTTCAATCTGGAAAGAATAATTCGGGACGAGTCAAAACAACCAATCACAGCCAGAGGAGCTAAATACGCGCGTTCTGACCGACTCAACGC